GTAGTGATTAAACATACCTTTTTAAAAATAGGTATGCATTAGGAAGAGAAGTCATTTTTGGAAATGATATGCGGCAACATTAGCAACTTATGTACTCACATTATTTGGTTTTCTGCCAGTTTTATCTTTTTTGGAAAAATACGTTCTCTGTTTAATTCTTTCTATAGAGCTTAAATACTCTAAAGAAGCTAATATTAACTTTCCGAAAAACATCTGCCTGTTGATGTAAAATATTCATTCGACATTCTTCTAGACTGTAAAAATGTTCTATTAAAATATGGGATTATTTTAATTAAAATAATAAGGTTTTTTCAAAAATCTTTTCGTCCAGTAGCCAGTAGCACGGATGTTAACGCCAACGATATTAATATCGTCGGTATATGCAAGCAGCATCACAGTTTTGTAGAATATTGTGTCAGTGCAGTTAAAATTTTCTGCTCGGATTATCGCTTCCAATATTAAGTGAATCTAGTGAAACGACAAGGAGACACCCTGCCTAAAACTTCGTTCAATACGGGGTTTAAACGGCTTGGAGAGGTTATTCCAAATTCTAATGAAGCGTAATTTTCAACGTCATTTTACATAGCTGTAAAAGTTTTGCTGAAATACCAACTTTAGACATAACGGCATAAAGAGTGCTTCTAGTCGTAGTGTCAAAAGCGCTTTTGAAGTCGACAAATAGGTGTTATGTGGATTTGGTTTTCTTGCGTCTTCTCCAGAATTGTTGGTTCGTATACTACATCACGTTAAATGGTTTGTGGATTTACGGAGAACTATATTTATTGTTTAAACAATTAATATATTTAGTTCTACCAAATACTAGACATAGTTTTACTAGATATGTAGGATAAAGTTTTCACACATTGTGTGCAAAAACACAAACGACATCGGTTATTAGAGTACATAAAAACGTGTGCAGGATGGGTAGTATCCAAAAAAAACAATTTAGTAACTGCTGTCAATAATATGCATAAAAAGTGATAGTTCATTGAATTACATTTAATACAATCTTAAACATTTATCTTCAAAAATAATAAATTATTTACTGCACTACTGATCCAAATCATCTCTAAATATAAGCTCATATGTACTTTGATTTAACATTCAAAGTAATAACCGGGTAAAACAACTATGGGAGATGTGCGAAACAAACCAGCTTACAAATTTTCATAAAATATGAATAAAATGATGCATAAAAATATAATTTCAATTGCTGAATAACAACACCAAAAATGGATCAAGTAAAACAGCAAAGACGAACAAAAAGCTATTTCACAAAAACAATACAAAAATGTGCAAATGTACTAGTAGTATTTAAAATGGGCAAAACCATTAGCAAGGATGTATGAACGACAAAACAGTACAAAATGCTAGCCAAAGTGCTAGCTAATAGTACCACGGCGTACAAAAATTCCGCTACACTTAAAAATTTCTGAAGAAAATCTCCGTATAAACATATGGAGGTTAAAACCTCCATAAGTAAATAAACCGATACTACTATATTTTTTAATATACATGTGAAAATCTGTGTGAATACCATAAGTTTTACAGTTTCTGTTATATAAAATCGATTTGTTGGAAAAGTGGTTATGAATCACGTTTCATGACAGCAAATCATCAGCGGATAAAAAACATATATTTATCATAAGCACTCTTACATCTTATCACTTATTTGTACTTCTTGCTTCTTCCGTTTTAAATCGCAAACAAGCCTATGAAAAGGACATTGAAGTATTGCCTCTTTAAGCGATTACTGTGACTGGTGTCCAAGTGCTGATGACTATTAGTGTAAGTGCATGTCACTGTTAAAATAAGCTGATAAATGTGAGCATACACGTGAGTGTGCTTATGCTGTGCCTACGCCTGCGAACGCAATTCATGTGTTGCTTATAAGTCGTTAACGTTATTTGCCGACACAAACGATTGCATGTGTCACCGTAAAACGAAATGCCCGAAATTATGCACTTATTTTTGGCCAAGAAAGCACACAGATACACACACTCTCACATAGACACACCCATAAGTAAGACTTAGCCATCAAAGGGCCGCACATAAGCGGGCTTATGTCCGCAAGTGCGTTGTCCTGCCAGCATTTGTGCCTGTAGCCTCTGCAGTAGTGAAATCGCACGCTTAGTATTTCGCTTTGTCCTACACGTCCTTAATTAAAGTGTCTGCATGCGTTCGTTGCTTGTCAACTGCTTTGGCTATCAGTTCGCCTGCCATGTTCATCGCTGCCAGATTTAACTATCGCTTCGAGCTTAACTATTTTTGTGCCTTCTTCCCTGCTTTCTATTAGAAGGAGTTACTAAACCGCAAACATAGATTTTAACGAGCACAACATTTGTCGGTTCACATGTTGTGGTGCGGTATTGTGCAGACGTTGTACATCTGTAGTACACATCGAGGCACTGTAGTACACATATGCCTATCGTACCATCACATGCAGAGCAACCGTTGTACCGTTGTATCTGTTGTATCTGGGCTTGTATCTGCATGACAACCAAAACAAGATTCATGCTCGCTCTTAGCTGCTTATGAATAAAGATGCGCGATTGTGGTTTTTTCCGATTTCGCAATTTCATGCATAGAAAAGTCGCCATGGAAACTTATTTTCATAAATTGTTGATTTAATTCTGCTATGTTTGTTTAATGCTCGAAAGCTTAGGAACGTCAGATGAGAGTAAATTTGTAATTAAGTGCGTCTTTGGAATGTGCTTATTAACGCCGCTGTTATTGTAATTATAACGCACATAGCCGAAATTATAATCAAAATAAAATTTGATGGCACATTTTCTAATGCATAAATATGCATTATTCTCTTTCAATGCCGTAAGTTTTCAATAAAAATTTCCATTAACTCCTCAAAAAGTGGAACATAAAAGGGATTATTTAAATCATTGTGGAAATTTATTAATAATGACACATTATATAGGCTAGGCAAATACTCGTTACTCGTTACTCATCAAACTAGCGATGGAGGTGAAATTGCGTTAATGTCATAATAAAAATAATCCTTTGTGGTGCTAACAACGAAATTTTAAATAAAATATAGTGTATATATAGTGTATGAATTAATTAGAGATATTTAAAAATATTTAATTAACATGAATGGGTTTTACTTGTACACGTGACATCATTAAAAAAGACCAATTAAAATTCTCTTAATTAATTCTTTTCATCGCATGAAATAGTGAACTGGAACTCTATTATGCAGAGCTAATAATTTTAGTGGAAACAAAAGTGATTTTGAACACGACAAAATTTACTAGAATTAATATCAGTGGAGGATAAAACTTCAAATTTAATTAAAGTAATAACTAACTAGCTTAATAAAAGGAAGTTAATTTCACTAATCAATTAATTTCACAATGTATTTAATTAATATAATATATGTATAAACATTCATATTAATATTTTATCAGATTGAAATGTGGAACTACTAGTTGCAGAAATTAATTTAAAACGAAACATAAAAATAATTATATTATTATATTATATATAATTAATTATATTATATTTTTGTGCATATAAGTTGAGCAACTTAAAATTTATTATGGTCTCAATTATTTGAATTTGATATTCTTAGGTTTGGTAAAGTCATAACGCAGCTTTTGTGCTCATTGAATATCAATCCGATAAACCAATTATCCTGAAATCGCTAATAAACCACAAAACTATTCTTAAACTACGCTATATAGCCCTTCTTTAAAAGTCATATTAAGGAAACTCAAGGTGCTCAACATTAAAATTATTAAAATCATATGTTATTATACAGATTAAGCACACCTAATTAACCATCCAAAGTTCCTCAAGTCTTATCAACAATTGTAAAAGCCAGTAAAGCGAAATTTTAGGTGAGCATTATAGAACTGCTCTTAATTGCATGCCCGTATTTAATAAAACTCCTATCGGACTTCTTTAGGTGATTCCTATTAAGTGTTTTGGTTCTAAATAGGAGCGCTTGAAAGATGCTTCATGTCTTTTATGGGTCTTTTAGTTAAATGGGTAGTTATACATGCATTTGTAATGGCTTTTAATACACTGTTCCACAAGAACGTGGAATTTTAATTCGAAATAAGCCATAGTGTTAGTTGACTATGTAAGGCGCTTACTTATTTAGGAATTTGAGCATTTCTGGCTTTGTCAAAGGTTCAAGGTAGTTTTTTAACCTTTAAAGTGTTGTACGGGAACAGAATGGACCAATACTCCTAAATGGATCTAGGTGTGTGCCGGTTTATTCTAAATAAATGTTATTCAGTAGATAATTGCATGGTAATATTAACGGAGAATTGTTTCCGGCCCATAAGCATAGTCACAGCAGTATCTAAGAAACTGTTCTATAACCATTTTAAATCATATCTCATAGATAGTGACTTTTGCACTGGCCCCATAGACAGTATTTAGACTAAATAGACACTTAACTATGCTATTGAATTTTGAGCATGCTTGTCATGTATGATATTTCAATCCTTAGTCGCAATATTGGTATGACTTCATTATAATTCAAGTGTTTTTGTTGCTGTTACTTTTACTGGTTCAGAATTTCGCATCTCAATAAAATAAAAATATTTATTCCTAATCGAATTTGAGTAAAGGCATTTCTTGTTTCAAACCAAAAGTTTTTCTCTGATACATTTATAGTTTAAAAACAGGAAATTTTGGTCTCAATATGACAATCCTGATCGCACTAGATTGCAGCACAAAAAATCAATCATGATCGCAGTGATTCGCTCCGTTGGAAGCTAAAACCCCATTCATTTCTAGGGTTGTCAATTCAATAACAAAGGCTTTAAAGGCATTATATGTATATATGTAGATGTTCAACAAACAATTAAAACTTTTCTCTTTGGAAATTCTTCTCGAGCAATATGCTTTAGAATTATTTCAGAAAATGAAAAGCTCAGAAAGATAATTTCTATATCTGTATATCTTTACAAAACTTCTTATCAAATTTGTTTGAAACAAATGTCATCTTTATTTTTAAAAAAAATTGAATTTAAATATTGTTTTAGAAAGTTGTTTACAAATCTTTAGAGAAACTTTAGATCTAGTTTATATATATATTTTGGTGAGCTACATTAACGTAAGTAGTTCTTTTCAATCCACAAGTACACGGTATTTGCTAAATTAATCAATTGTCCTTTTCTGACAAAACAGAATCATTTTAATATGTGAATTTAAATGACGTTTGGTTTCCTAGGAGAAAAATTGATTCAAATAGCTTCAACGTAATAATAATTGTAACAATTAAAAAATATTCATTGTCTTATTATAACTCTAAACAGATAACTAATCCAATTTTTGAGATATATGTTACCACCATCATTATCTTAATGAATATCTGCCTTTTATGGAGTAAATACATGAAGCTTTACTAAGTGACGACTTTTTCATGTCATACCGCTAAAAACTTCTTCTAATCAAGTTATTAAAATAGTTCTGTCTAGTCACCAATAATCAACTGAATTCAAGAAAATCCCTAAAATCGTTCTACTAAATATTTTAGAAAACTTGATTTCTTGATTCCTTACAAATTTTGATCACATCTTCATTAAAAATATTAATAAAAATTAAGTGAAAAATTGTTTGAATTATTTTCTCATTTATTTTTTTTACTTCGATCAGTAAACAGCAAAATTCAAATTCTTTGCCCGGAAGATTTGAAATATATTTCGATATTTTTTTTAACTCATTTGATCAATATGGGTGGCAATTTTTTCGGATTTCTAAAAGAGTTTCGAAGCTACAACAAGGATTTGACACCTGTAGAAAGTGCGAAACAGGCAGGTTCCGTATGGCGTCAAATGTCAGACCATCAAAAATTACAATATACTTTTGAAAAAAGGGTCAGGAAAGTTCAGAAATGCAGTCGATGTGGTCAAAAGATAAAAAAGAAGCGACGCGGACCAAAACAGAAGCGCAAAATTTCTGCAACAAAAAAAATTGACTATATTCCGAAGAGCAAAGCGACCAAAAATCGGCAGAAACGCCGTCAAAATTTCTATTAATAATATTTTATGGAGGACTGGCTAAACGTGAGTACAACTTAAATTCTTTATTGATCTTCAGTGTTGATATATATTATAAAACAAATACATTCTCCAGAAATTGGTGGCATTAAAAAACTAAAATTTCCAGTCCGTGACGCTAGCCACAAATTATTTGGCGTCTTATTGTGAAATCGTACTTTCAGTACGTAAAAGTAATGTGAGTATAAGATAGTTCAAGCAAATTTTTATTGTGACATGCTTGACAAAAAAATTTATTTTTTGACAGTTGCTGAATTTTTATTTTCTGTGCTAACAAAAAAAAATCTAATCCATTGTGTATTGTGAAAAATTCATTCACATTTGCCTCTGCCTGTATCCGATAACATTCTGTCCACTCCCGTCCAAGCCGAAAATCCTCCATTTATGGTAAAAGGTAATTATTATTATAAATTAAATAAAAAGTTTATTTATAATTCATAAGAATTCATTCTAAAATATAGTTTATTCTTTCTTGCAGATGGTCCTATAGATTCTACATATGTGTTACTTTGACTTACACCCGAAGAGTTTATTTTATTAAATTATAGAAGGTATTATTGATATTATATTGGTAGTGTTTCGACCGAATAAAAGAAGAAATAATTTGTTTTTCAGATACCCAACGAAAGAAATTCTAATTGCATTATGTATAATATACAATATATTGTGAATATTGTCCACCGTTTTAAGTGAAAAAAGTATGTTTACCGATAAGTGTATTTCATAAATTATTTGTTCAAATTCACAGTTAAATTAAGTTTGAATTAATTAAATAAATTTATTTTTAGTTCCACAAAAAAAAAATGAAGGTTAATTTGATTCAAATCATTGTAAAATAAACAATGATGCCCCCACAAATAAAAACAATTAAATTCTACTAATGAAGGTAATTTATAATATATAACATAAGCAGATTAAGAAGCAGTAAATAGGCATTAACTTATATAGATCCTTCTAATATTTTAGTATGCATATAGTATACATATAAGTACATGAAAAATATCATACTGAAAAATTTAAAACTAAATTTATATGGTGAGTAAATGATTAGATTTGTAAAATATTATATTTACATATTATATAAATTATTCTTAATTAAATATTTTTTATATGAAGTATAGAAACAAAATTTAGAAAGAAAACGAAAATTGGAGCTTACAAAACAATTTACAGTAAACAAACTCAAAAATTTTGAGTAAATGTATTTATTAAATTCTTTATTTATATGAAATTTTCCCGAAAAAAAATATTTAAAAAAATAAAAATTAAAAAAAAAGAAATTGAATAAAAAAATAGACAAAAAAAAATTGAAATAAAAATAAAAAACTAACAAAAAAACGAAGATATTTAAATTCATTTTATTTTTATTAAAGAAGAATAAATTAATAATTACCGACTGTAGCACAATTAAGTGGGAACCAGAAACTATCTGTTAGAGGTAATCAGAGGAGTAAAGACAATTTGGAGGCCTGGCTAAGACAATGTGTTTACTAATCGATTTTGCGGCGGAGTAGCGGCACTGAGCATTTTTTACCATAAACCTTAATATAAAAGACACATTTTTAGCAGATCATTTTGGGACCATCAACTTCTTCTTGAGAACTTGTTTGAGAATAGGTTATAAGTTTAGATAGATGGAAATCAAACGAAACTAATGCATATGCTTATATTGATTGAATATAATGTTTAATACATTAAGAGATTAAGAAACTAGAGATCATGGCGTTTATTTTGGTTTTTTATAGCTGTTCATTCAAAATAGTGTACTCCAGAGTCAACACAACATTGACAAATTTCAAAAAATTTTTCAATAATTTTAAGGATTTGTTTTCGGTAAGTTGGTCAAAGCCTTTTGAGTAACTGGGACATGGTATCAAAAAGATGTCATTTCTTCAAGTCTCTACAGAGAGTGAAATCCTACATTATCATATATGTGACTTACATTGGAATAGTTCATGTATTAAGCTTAGAATATTATGATGAGGACCATTGAGTATACTAAATATATTAAAATAGTATTTTATATTAAAATTATTTTTCAAAATTTAAAAAAAAAGAACAGGTAAAGGTTAAATAAAATTTCCATAGCTCTTCCGTTACTTGTATTTAAATTAAATTAAATTGTCTTCCCAAAAAATAAGACATATAAAATTATTCCTGTGAATCCAAAGAAGAAAAAAATCGTTGAACACAGCTCCATATCTGGCCTCATTGATGATGACAATTGCAGTTTTTGCGTTTTAAAAAAATAATTTACTATAAGATCACTCCTTAACAAAGAGCGTCACCCACCGAATGATTTTTCTTATACCAAATGCAATAATTTCGCTAATTGATAAAACTATTGATATATAAGTAGGTCTAATCGAAGCTCATAAGAAGCTCAATCTATTTATCTCCACTTGCCCTCTGTCTCTGAGCATCTTTCGTTTTTTTATCTACTTATATTTTAAGCTCTATGTCTTTCCGCTTTTCCTACTTTTTCCAACACTCGCTTTTTATTAATCCGTCTATATTCTTATATATTGTATGCATATTACTTTACCACTGCTATTTTGATTTAGTAGTGGAGTTGTCTGTCTTCTCTCTGATCGTTGTATAGCTAATCAGTCAGAGATACTCTTAAACGAAGAAGTTGCTGGTTAGTTAAGCAGACACGTTAGACTGAAAACAACAAATGCATACTTGATGATGTTAAGATCAATGGATCCTCGTGATTGCTGGGCAACAGAAAATGATTTTAGCACTATTTCAGGCTCCATCTAAAATAAAGAACGAAATTAAATAAATTGTAATGCCAAGATCTACCCACATGAAATACTAAGTTCTCTCTAGGCAAGTTAAACTGAAGACAATGCCATTCAAACGACGAATTCGTCATAAGCAAACAAATATACTTATCTGAGTTCTACAATAATGTGGTCAAAACTAGTTGGGATAAAATGAAGAGACTTAGCTTATCGAGAGAGACATGCTCTTAAGTTAAGAATTCCCTCTCATTAATATTATAGAAGTTATAAGGAAGAGCTAGAGGAAAAAAGAGTAGATAGATTTTTTGAGCAACCTAGCTTCAACCAGAAGTACAGGGAATTTCTTAGAATATCGGTGTAGTTTCGTACTTAACTAACAGTTAAGGTTCTGCGTTCAGTTTTAGTATCAGAATGAACCAAGGATCTCAGCGAATCAGTCAGACTAACTGGGATAGTAACTTAACTTAACTTAATCATAGGAAAGATTTTTGAAAACAGCGAAACCTCTTCTGGTCTTGATCAAAATAATCTTTAAGATGAATTTGTACGCATAATCAAACTGCAATGAGACACTTAAAGTACGGAAATAAATATAAATATTCTAGTTTTTCGTTTTCAAGAAAAAGAAAACAAAAGTTTAAAATGTATAGAAGAATTCTAAATTAATGAATTGTGTAAATAATGTGTGTTATGATACAATATAAAATTAAAGTATTATTCTTATATTCCCTAAATTCTTTAAAATTATATTTTCTGTTGATGAAAATAAACTGCATGAGAGAACTTCTCCGCCAACATTTTCCCCACCTATAAAACTGAGAACGATATAACTAAAGAAATTGTTGGAAAGTGGGACTTTTCGTTTTGCTCTTCTGATATTCTTTTTTAGTTTAGTCAGTAAAACGGTGTTTACAATTTTTGGTTTGTTATATGTATTTTTGAAATATATTTCATACACATTCCTTGAGAACTTTTAGCAGTATTATCGTCCTACCGTCAACTTTAATATAACAATTTTTTGGTAACTTAACCGTTTTTGGTGAAATTCTTAATCCATCACTTCTGGCATATTTAACTACAAACATAAGGAAGTTTATGTGTAAAATTAAATATATCCATATATGAAATTAATATAACCAGTCCATCATCTTTTCAACATTTTCGAATTTCATAATAAATTTACTACTTATAATTGTTATTTTATTTAATATGTAATTAAGAATTAAAATCCATTAAATTTAATTTCGGGATTTCTATTAATTCAACAGGATTATACACTAATTTCTATATTCAATATAAATTTTTTCTAATAATTTCAATTAATTTCGTACCGTCAACGGATTATTTGAAATAATCCCAGTGCAATTATAAATTTTAAATTACCTGTAATTTAATAAGTGCTATTTAGGTTTTCCATTGATAATGAGTACTTCAACCATAACCTCATTTGCTGTATATTAGATGCGAGACTATTATTGCATCTCATTTTAACCTAATTTTGCCAATTCATGATTGTATACAAAATTATTTTGAAATATTTTCCCCAACATACCACATTTCTTTTTCAAACATATCATCATTTCAGACACATATATACTCATATATATATATGTATTTCTTTTATATATTTAAGGAACTTACACAGCATAACTCAGACGATTTTTTCTTTAGTTTCGCTTTCAAACCACTTAATTCATCAGCATATACTGCTTTACTGTGAAGCGTTCTTGCATGGAGCTGAAGGCCTTTCATCACGCAACGGGTTAATGGCATAAAAGCGGTGTTGGCAAGTCTGTAGGGTTCCGGGATCAAAGTTGGTAATGTTAATATCTTACTGACTTTTTTGCGTGACTTATGGGCATGTTTAGCATTGCCTGCACCAACTATGCTTGTTGTTTTTATTGAATTTTTGGAATAGTAGTGCGTTTCATCAAAGTACATCTCGTACCGCCAACCGACTGCTGGTTGCAGTCAATGCAAGTGCATGCAAACTATTACGAAGGAAGAAAACATTATAGAGAAAAAGTACTGTATAGAAAACAATATCAAAGCTCCCATGGCTGTGTGGAAGTTGGTTTCAGTTTTGCTCTTATGCCAAAGTGGCTTTCATATTTGCACTTGAGGCGTTATTGGTAGTGTTACTGGCACAATCGCTGCAGAGCCATCTCGTTTCGCAGCGACTGCTACAAATTGATGCAACCAAACTTTTCTGTTCGAGTAAATTCATGTTGCATGCCTGAATAGGGAAAGACCATGCTGTGTGCATACACTCGTTAAGCATTTTTCGTCTCTCAATGTGATTTTCAACATATTCAGAAATATCTACAGCATCTACCACATCAGCAGCAATAGCCACAGCAACAGGAAACGCTGTCCATTCTGTACGTGTTGTTTCAGCGTGCAACTGTTCCTGTCGCTTCGTTGTTTGTTGTTGAAAATGTTGTTACGGCATAATTGTGCCTTGAAAAGGTTAAAGGGCGTAGACAACAATTCGTTTTTGTATCGTGGCTTAGGATACGTATACATGCTGCAAAAATAGTACTGGAAATGAATGGATTTAAAGGATAACAAAACAAAAGCAAATAAAACTTCCAGAATTTATTATACTACAAGCAAAAATCGGTTTGTGGGGTGTCAACCCTTTTCAATTTAAGTTATGCTTTTCTGGTTAGTTATGTTAAATAAGTTTAATCTTAAATTGGATGGCAAAACAATCTTAAGAATTTTTCATTAGTTTTAATAAATTTTATATTGTGTCATTTTTATAGACATACATGGTTTTATTAAATTTTTGAAAAGACACCAATAGGCCATTAAAATAGTTAGAACTGTTATAGTAACGGAAGTCCAACATTTTACCAGTGATATCAAGAGCACAAATACTAGTATAGATATGCGTACATTACATACAAATGCTAATTACTTTGTTCAATTAAAATGATGGAACAATGACAGTAGAAACCTTGGTAATTAGAAAATTGTCACAGGAGATGAGATAAAGCAATGCATAAAAGCTTGAGTATACAGCAAAGTCATGTATCATTTATGAGAAAATCCGTCGAAAAAAAGCCCAATTAAAGATGTTATCATCTTTGTAGAAGCCAATATTTCAAGCCTCCATATCTCGAAATTTAAGCTATATCGACACTGCGTAGTGTGTGAAAAATGTTGCTTAAAATTAGTGCCTTTATTTAAATCCATTGGTAGGTCGCAGCGCTCCAGTAATAAAATGCTGCCAGTGCTTAAACTAGATGACTTTATAGCCGTTTCATTGACCTCTTCTCTTCTTGTAGAGAAACGACAAAGGACAGTTGAGCAAATCGGACAATCTGTGCCTGCAGCATCCCTGAAATAAACTTAATTGGTAAATTTTAGGTACCATTCTTCTAGTTCTCTTACCAAGATCTTAAAAAGAACCTTACTTGGACCATTATTATCACTGTAAGCAGCAGTGGCATCATCTCT